CGAGAATCTTCGAGAAAAAAAATCAAGAGGCGCGGTGAATGAAAATGAAAACCGGTGCGCGTGCGTACGAGCTGCACTTTCCATGCGAGATGCAGCAACGCGTAAATCGATGCATTGCTGGATTGGAATACCGTTATGGCAACGCCACGCGAACGTATCGTAACTTGGTCGTGACTCGTAAACACTTCGACCGAGGGGATCAACCTCTCTTTCTTTCTCTATAACCGCGGCCATTCACATTTGAAAGAAACTCGAATGGAAACGCGTAAGTCACGGCTTTTCGAGACGCGAGAACAAGCGTTTTTTTTTTTTCATTTACCTTCATCGATAGCTTTCGATGACGAAGAGGAACGCATGCGAAACACGTAGGCAAACAAGTGGAATTTATTTAGTGCGCGTTTATAATGTACAGCTGAAAAAATAAGTTTTTAAAAGAGTATTAAAGAATAGAAATTTATGTTTGTTTGACAAATGTGATGTATTTAATTAAATAAGCAATTATATATTTAAAGTTACAAGTTTTTAATAAGTTTCGAGAATATGAAATTTTGTTAATCACGGGCTAAATTGATCTTAAAGGAACATTTATTGCAAGATAAGTATCCATTGGAAATAATCACAGGCTTTAATCTCAATTTGTTCAACAATAGCATGGAAACAATATATATAATTATTATTTATAATTTTAATTATTCTTTTTCTCGATAATAGATTTATCTTATTAAAAATATATACTTTTTTCCTTGTGTTGTTTCCTATTAAATACAAATCAAATCAAAATATCACTTGTAAATATATTATACTTAACTGTATTAGAAATTAAATCACTAAAATTAATGCAATTAAATATAGTAATAAATTAATAAAAACTAAATTCAAAAAATTTAATCGATGACGTTCTCCATTTAAAATTTTCCATTCTCTTGAAGAGAATATTGAATTTTCTCTTTATCACATTATTCAAAACATTCTGTCATCTTTCACGACGATAAGACTTTTCTTGTTGTCTTGTTCATATAGGAGCCGAGACTTGTATAATGGCACTTCGTCTTGACAAAAAGAAATACGCATCCAGACACGTATCGATCTCCTTTTACGATATGACAAGAGGGTAAAGAAAAACGAGAAATAGAAAGGATTGGGGAAAGACACAATGCCGGCTTTTACGACGACTCTCGTAACCGCGCGCCATTATCGGGAGGGGTCGTCGGAAAAAGATAAATGCTGGATAAATAAAGAAATGATCACGTAGCTTCAACGTACATCTATCGATTTTACGTTATATTGAGATGCATTCTGTTGACGGAAGAAATTTACAATAAAAGGCATTGTATCTGTGAGAGACATAATGTTTAATCCAAAACTTTCATATGCGGTCTCTCTCTAATAAATCTCACAAAATCTGAAACAAATCGACAAAATAGTTTGCAATAAAATAAATTAATATCTCTGAATTATATACAAATAATATATTAATAATTAATCTCTCAAAGTTTTCGTAAACTATTTTAAAATTATAATAGATCAAAGAAAAAGAAAAAAAATTTGCGAACAAGTTTTGATTATAAAATATAATACAAGTTTCTCAAAATGTAATCGTGAAAAAATTATGCATCACCGTGGGAACTATATAAAATTCTAATCATTCCCGATTTATTTATGGCAATTTTGAGGATACCGGCGTTAGATCGTTCGAGGGACTCGCTTAAAAGAAAATGCGTGTAAAATATTCATTTTAGTTTTACGACCGGCTCACATACTCGAGCACCTCGAGTGCGTTTAAGTGAGAGAGCATGCAGCTGCGAAAGCATAAATAAACGGGGAATAATACACTGTGGATCGTGTTATGAGTCGACGATAGCAATCGCGAACTTTTGGTCAAATTCGTCGCTCCTCGCGATAATTATTTATATTAAAAAGTCCTCAGCTTTCTATTCTGGCTTTCAAAATAAATTATCGCACAGACGAATGCGCAAGTGTGACTCGACTCGCCGCTAATTTGCGAATCCTCGTCGTCGCGCGCGATGCTAAATTACCGTAAATTCGGCCGAGCGTATTTCCTTCGGTCTGGATCGAGACCTCTTATCTGAACATTCACGTTGCCGTAATAAAATTTTACGACGTGAATACTTCATGTAATGGAACTGATAACGCGAATCCGAAACACACGTCTTGCTGCAGTTGCTCAAATTTTGTTATTATAATTAAGAGGTCTGTTGATTCCGTCGTCAATATGTTAAGAGACAGGTTAATTATATTTTTATTATATTAAGCTTATCAATTTGTCAAGTGTGTGCGTTCGTGCTGTTGTCAAAATTTTGCAGACACGAAACGTGTGATCATCGGTTGAATCTTTATCATCGCGATTGAGAATTCATCTTCATCGATTTCATTTCGATATAATACACGGAAGCAATTTTACAATAGAAACCGTATGAAAAATACATTTTTTTACATTTTATATATAAAGCTGAAATATATCTTAATGATTATGCATTCGTTTTGTGCATCAGTATTTAAATGTGATTAGAAAATGTTCCTTTGCAAAATATGAAACATACATAACATTATTAAGTAAAAATATTGCGATTTCTCTTATAAGTTAAGTTAGTACGGTCCACGATCAAATTATATCGTAATTTAAACTATAATATTTTCTCCGTATATTAGGATACATTTGTGTACCTTTGACCGCGAGATAGCCCAATATGCTCTCGTTGCTACCAAAATGCCCGAGCATCTTCCACTGCGTCGAACGAGACGTCGATCCTCCTCCTCCTCTCGAATCGTTTTCTGCGCGATCGTTAATTAGCATCGCATCCTGATGTCAACCTCTCATCGGAGCGTGGAAGCTCCGTCGTTGTTGTCACCCAAGCATCGCCACGAGCGATGTTCGCGTCTCGTATAATCGCCATTCGCAGAATTTGCCGTATTATCACGAGGGTGATTTCATTTCAGCGTATATCAGACTTGGAAAGTAAATATCAATCGCGTCGCGACGTAGGCATGAATTTACACCATGTTGAATTAACACCTAATCACGATTGAAAGTAATCTCTTCCATATTATTCTACGATTCAAAAATTTCTCAAATGGGATCAATCAATCCTCCGATATGGCCAATTTTTATTTCACCAAACGTCACGTAGAAAATGACAGTTACATGAAAGGTACGAAATAAAAATTGACCATATCGGAAAATTGGCTGATATTACTCGAGAATTTCGCGCGTTCCCACGGGATGCATCAGAGACTCGATCCCCTCGGTCGGATTCTCGCAAATATAAACCGTCGACGAAGAGATACAAGTTGTATCGCGCACACGATGCGCACGTCGCGTGCGACCGCGCTGGACTAAAGGCCTTAAGGTGAATATACTCGCCTCTCGCCTCGAGATTTTTCCGCACGTCGCGCCTGCGTGTGGGTGTCCTCGTCGCGAGGCGTAAATGCACACGCCGGTGTGCGCGTACACACGTTAAAAAGGGTCGAGAGTGCACCGGTTGACTTACGCAAACGTCTATTGACCGCTATAAATAAAGCGACTCCCCCCTTTCGTACCTTAGAAATGGTAACGCCGTTTTTCGCGTAAAGATGCCTCATCGATCTGTCTTACGACGCGTTGCAGTCAGTCAAGTTGTGATCTTTAACCCTTCCTCGAAACGTCAAATTAATACTTTCTGTACTAATAATTTTGTCTGCTAAAACAAGTGTCTTTACTTAAGATGTTTGAAGTATAAAA